AAAAATATAATAATAAAGCTTGGAAAATTTGGCGGAGAGCCAGATCCGATAAACGCAGGTAGATATTGTTTTAGAGCGAAATTTAAGGCGAATAAACCGAATATTTGTTTTGGAATTTAAAAATGGAATACATTACCTCGATAGTGCATCTTTGTTTGTATACTATTAGTGGTAGATGGAGAAAGCCACCACACTCTGCATAATTCTATTTAGATTTGAATTAAATGTTGTAATCTAATTAGGCATTCGCCACCAATTTAATCTTTTTGATAGGGTTTATCTTATTACAGAAGATGTGGTAATTGCATTACCATATCTGGTAATGCAATTATATGGCCAACATAGGCACAAATCTGGATACCCAATACTTCTACATAAATAAAACTGAAGCAATTCGACATTTACTTTCGAAGTTCCTCTTGAACAAAAGAATATAAAATAAAGATAAAAGTTTTCTTAATACAAGTAGAAGAATTTGAAACAATTAAGCTAAAGAGACTAAAGTTTAAACTGTATTTTATTTAAATTCGTTTTAAACAGATTTCTCTGTTTATAACGTTTGAAATAAATAAAATAAAGGTTAGTCTGTAAAAAAACTAGTTATCTTTTTCGACCTGTAAACGGTTTTAAATAGATTGTGTTTTTGTGGTTTGCACAAAAAATATGTTGGTATCTGTAAAATATATTTGACTCCGTAAAATGAGTCTTTTTCGGACTTAATCGCAAAAAGTTGCCATAGAAACTTTTAAGGATCATTTAGATAAAACCAGAGAAATGGTTTAATACTACTATATTAAAGAACTAATGTCACAAGACGTCATTTTGTCGCACGCGGACAATTTAATGGACGAGTGCGACAGAAGGTCTTATGATACGAGTTCTTTATGCTATTTTATCTATTTTGCAAAAATTCTATAAAAAAAATAATTTTATACCTTAAATTTAATTTGGTCGAATTTTACTTTAGATAGTTGGTATCACAGTCATTGGTTTGACAGTTAATGTCAAAATCGATTCGCCATGCCGTCCTTAATTTACTCATTTACAATAAGCGGCTCTTAATGTTAAAGAAGAAAAAAAGGATTTTCTTTGGTTAAACAAAATTTATTGCCAGAGAAGTCTCGTAAGTACTAGAAAAATCATTAAAATATTATAACCAATATGCAAAATATTATGCTGTTTAAAGTATAGCCAACCTATAAAATCAAAATTTTGGGTGGGATAAAGTATCAAATTACAGCACCGAGAGAGAATAGAAATAATTTATAATAACCTTTATCCTACCAAAAAGTACGCCACTGATCGACTAGGAACTTTAGGCTAATCTGGTTGCCTAATTTAATTTATTATGTTATGGTTGGTAATAACCAGCGTTTTCAGATTTTGTCAAAAAAAGTTGCCAGATTTTGTTTAAATTTAGCTTAATTACAAAAATGACAAAATCAACAATGCAAATTGTCAATTTGTCGTTTTTATTAATTGTTGGTTATGTCATTTTTGTAATGAAGGTAAATTCAAACAAAATCTGGCAACTTTTATCAGAATCTAGTGAATTTCTTTCAAATTTTGGGTTATGGGCCCAAATTGTAAATATCTTAACTAAGTGAAGTGGTTTTGGATTTATTTACACAAATTGAATGTTTAAAGTTTAACCTGTTATTTCATCAAAATATTTTGTTTATAACCTATGAAAAAATTAATTTTGTGGTTGTGGAGTTTTTTAAAATAGGTACTAAATTTTCTAATCATTGCTTAAGCTAATAGCTGGATGAGAAAATAAATATTTTATTTTATAAATTTTGGTAGGTTTTATCATTCCACATCTCCCGGTATGCGTACGTAGGAAATTAAAGGAAGCCATATAAAATTAGAATTAGGAAATTTGAAAATTAATATCTTGATTATCCAACTCACATAACAGTTTCCAAATGATTAATATAGGCGCTATCAAAACAATATATTACAGCCTCATACGTGTTGTCATTTATCTTGTAAACAGGTAAAAATCTTATCAAATAAAAAAGCAATCTTTCCATAAACGGTATTTTTTTCTGTTAAAAGTTTTAATTGTGTTTCGCATTAATAAACTTTTTTTGAACGAACAAAAATGTTAATTGCATGGAGTTAATGAGAAATTAACGGCATTGTTCTCTTATTTTTTGGCTTATATTGTACCTGATGGTATCAAAAAAGTACAATGACTTTTAAATTAAAGCCCTGCTTAGCACTAAAACGATCGCTTACCATAAATTATTGGCAAAAGTTAGTTATTGAAGCGATTCTTTGTTTTTTATCGGGCGTTGTTGAACATTTTAGATCGCAGTTAAAAAGTTTAAAAAAACTGTTATTCAATGTACACAGGGACAATTTTTAAATTAAGTACTTATAACTTCTATAACTTTTAAAAAGTTACTTAAGACTTACGCTCTTATTTTGTTAAGAACATATTTTGTATAACGGTGAATATATTGAGATGTCCCCCAAGTGACAATGATTATTTTTTATTTTTGGTTGTTTCACTTTTAGTCTAGAATGGGGTTTTTGGAAACCACCAGGTCTAGTAATAACATAACATAAGTGGTGCTGCACTAATGCAAGAGTTTTAAGAAATCATACATTTTGAATATTGGAGCTTCACGGAGGTTAGGATTTTTTTAAACATCCCTTTGTATATTTGAAATTAGTTATTGTATCATTTGACACCTTAATATTTTTTAAAAATGCAATTGTACATACATAAAATATTTATTAAAAAAATCTACTTACTAAGATATTACACTTCACGGTGGATAGGTTTTTAAAAAGCAAATTAACGAACTTAAACTTTTGAATTATAAAACAGCAACACTCTCATCTGCATATAAATTCTAACTGACCTTCAGGAATTACATGCATCTATAATGTCGTAAACAGAGGTTTTTGCTTATTTAAAATGATTAAAGCGCCATCCGTTGAATAAAATTTAAAGCAAAAACAGATTCACGGAGGATAGAATCAATTTTTGTAACACCTACATAAATGGTTATAAAAATTATTTCTTTTAATTTTTAATAATATTTTATATTTGATTCGATTACTTTGGATGTGTTTAATTTACTTAGTGAACTGATATTTTTAGTATGCTTTTACTACCTCAGATTTTTGAAAACATATAGGTTAACCTAGAAACAGTAACAGTCAAAGAGGATAGGTTTTAGACTTTTAAAACATTGTAAAAATAATTAATTGCTATTTAAAATCTGGAATCTGAGCTGTTTCTTTGAAACTAAATTTTGGGCAGTGATTAATTTAAAGCGGACTTTGGCATTAGTAACGAAATAGGTGCACCTTATAAATAAATGTATAAGTTGGATTCGGGTAGTTTTCGTTGGTGTAGCGTTTTGTGTATGGTAAAACGGCTTTGGCGGATTTTAGTTGCCAAAGTTTTGCGGTTTTCATATTTATACAGATCAAAAATAATCCATTCATTCGCGTTATTGCAGCGAAAGTTATTAAATTATTTGTTTCAAACCTTTTTATTTTCAACTTAACTGGATTTTACAGCAAGGGTATACCGACGGAATCACGACGAAGTTTAGAATAGTAATATGGTCAAGTGAATATTTGAAAATCATCCAAAATCGAGTTTTTGAAACTATACAGTGATGTCATATTTACCGAAAACTCTTCTCCATAGCAATCCGAATGTAGTGGTTTGAGTGTAGCATCGATGTCTTAGGGAAGCACCTTGGGATATCCATTGTTAAGCTTAGTTTACCACTTTTATTTCAAGTAATTTAACACAAAGTAAGATTTAAGAAAAATTTTAACTTATGCCTAAACCACTTTTTGACGATTTTTTTTTATTTGACATATCTTAATAAAATAACAATCGAAATTACTTTAAAGGCTTGTAATATCATTAAAGGAAAAGCCTTTAACTAAATAGCACCCAATCGATAATAATAAGAGACTTTATTATACGAACATGAATATAAAGTTTTAAGCTCTATAGAGCTATAGGATATGTGTTTTATTCTTTTAGCAATAAGACGTTTGCCCTTTGAACCCTTAAACTTTTCTTTTGATAGCAAAATGAGTTCACTATTAGGTAAATATCAAATAAAGTAAAACGTTTTAAAATAATCTACAGTTTTATGCATACCTCGGCAAACATTTATAGTGCTTTTTCCTTATTTATTTTAGGAGATATTAAAAAGTGTTCTTAAATCGCTGAAAATTCTCAAACAAAATCAAATTTTCGAAATCCTATTTAGCCCGCGAAAATCTTACGTTTTCTTTTTACAAGCGTGAAATCCGTCATGTCTCCAGTTGGATTAACCACTAATCGCCCCTCTTTGTCCGATTTTTATCGAACGTTGGTAAACACTGAACAGTTTTTAAATCTACCAATAAATTGTATTAAAATTTTAAACATCGAAACCAAAGTAATTAGGCATTTACGCCGGTGTAATTTTACACGACACCTTGAAAAAAATTAAAGGATTAATCCGTTCTTTATTAAAGCAATTTGCCCGTGTCGCTTTAACCACTCCCAGTGAATCCATAATACATTACTCTGTGCATCAAAGGCGTCCAGATTAAATAAGTTTAACAAGGTCAAAACTTTCTTTAATAAATATCAAAAACAGAGTTCACATTTTGACTTGTCTCGAAAAAGCACACTAGTTGCGGTGGAAATGCCGTGCTGATTGGTTTATTGCTTTCTATAGTAGAGATTGTTTTCTAAAGAAAGTACCAGTGCTTTTCTAGGTGGCGAATGCGATTTGACGCTACTCCATTACTTCTTGTGGTACTATGTAAAGTCTTTGGTGTACGCTGATACATTACAAACTATTCAATATGCAAAGTTTATTGGTGGTACTTGAAAAACTGCTCCAAAATTGAACTTCTACATGCACTTCAATCATTCTAAATGTCAATATAATGAATAAAAAATGTTGGTTCCAACTCATTTTCTGTTGTTTTTATTTTATAAAAAAAACAAATTTTAATAGACATAAAAATACATTTTACAGAAATATTTGGAAGCACTTTGAGTCTTAGGTTGTGCCATTGTTTTCCAATTTCATATTACAAAGACAGTCGGGGTTGTCGCACAGGGCCGCATCATTGTTAGTATGATCTGTAAAAAAAGTTTTTTTATCGAATGTACTGTTAAGATAAATGCCGCATATTGTATTACCTTCTTCTGCGGTTCTGGAACTGGTTTTATCCATTTTGCGTATATACCTTCTTTGTTGTCTTCTTCTGCGCGATTTCCTACGCGCCTTGAATTTTCTATGCTTACGGCTGCTTGTTTCATTGGCAGGATAATCGTCTTCAGGATATTCTGGTTCATCATCGGTAGGGGTATCTTCCAGGGTATCCTCGACACTAGCTTCACTGTCGCTGTTAAAATCCTTGGGTTTCCTCCTCCTTTTGATCTTCTTCCTCTTCCTTCTATGATGCTTCGAGCCGGTCTCCTCCATCATCATGAAACTCTTGTAGATGGCGTAGTCTTTGGCGTCAAGGCCCAACCTGTATTTCCCGCTTCGTTGCTTGATCAGTCCCGTTTCTAAACCTTGTTTGAGTGCCCGTTTTACCTGTACCGGAAGGTTGCTTGGTTTGACGAGGTTGTGCTCTTGGAGTTGGGTGGAAATTGATTTCATCGTGGAGCCATTTGCTTCGCCTAAATCGGCAATCACTTGCATCACCTGCGGAAGTAGTTTTTGCCGATTTGTCTTCATTTCTAAATAAGTACGAGTATATATTTATTGATGTTTATATATTTGTTATTCCATTTCTTACCAAATTCACTGGATAATTTTACTAAATGTATACTGCTTTTCCCTGACACATAATTTATGCCTTCTTTGCTATAATTTGTGGTAAAATAATGTCAAAAATTTTGAAAAATAAAAATGACATATTAATTTATTTGTTTGAAACATCCCCCTGACATTACTGGTAACTGCTAGATTATTGTCTTTTTCTACAGATTTTTATTTAATTTGATTATTTTTACAAGTTTATAGGCTAAAGTAGACAGTTATCGGACACTTTATAGTTATTGGACAATTAACATTAATACTGTAAAAACAAGAGTTCCTTAAAGTCAAATCATTAGATGGCGCTGTATACAATTATAACTATCTCAGTCGGTAATAATATAGAACAACTTTATTTTGAGTCCAATATAGGACAAAAAAGTTCGCACGTTACTGTGGGGCTGTGTTTAAATTACAATAAAAAATATTTCTAAAAAGTGTACAGTACAGTGTGTGGTATAAATGTGTTCCTCATGGTTTAAACATTGTCACTTTAATGCGTTTTAATTTTAATTCTGAAAACAAAAAGTCAAATGGCCAGTGTCCAATTACTGGTTGGTAAAAAATGTAAATTTCTATTATTGGACATATGTCCAATATCATACTCTATTTATATCCCGGGCATTTACCAGCCAATTCTTATGTAAAATTGTCCCCTGAACCCGAAAAGACCGTCAAACTATAAAAGTTAAGCAGTTTTTGAGATATAGTCAATTCCATATTATATGTAAAATTGATTATATTTCAAAAACTGTTCTACTTTTATAACTTTTGACGACTTTTTTAGAATAATATTTCATAGAAATTGACTGCTAAATGTCCTGGATACAAATTGCTGTTGACGAGAGTTATTAGTGGCTGCTTTTTCGCTATGACATTTTTGACTAATTAATTTTTAGAGAGTAAGTAATATAGTGATTTCTTCGTCACAGGACATTTTGCAGAATAACAGTGATTTAAATACAGTGCACGATAGAGAACATAAAAAAGTAATTGCAACAAAATTAATAAATTCGGAAAATACTTTTAACACACCACCCGAAAAAATATTAGATATATATAAATCATCCTGTTCCGGCCTAAACATTATAAATGCTTCACAAACTAGATATACCACACTTAATGATATTTGCACTATTTCAGAAGTCAGACCAAGGAATTAGTAGAATCAGAATCCAGAAAAGGGATGAGGAATCCGAGAAAGAAATATATGAATTATATGATATTTACAAAAACTAAATAAAAAAAATACCTAAAACAGCAATTTATCTTTAAAAAATATTTAACAATTTATGTTATTTGATGTAAAGTTGTTATGTTTATATAAAAATTGTATGTCCAATAACTATGGTCCATGTGTCCAATTACTATATAAAATGTCATATTACTATTATTGTTTGTAAATTCAAAGTATAAGTGCCTTAAGCGCCTCAAGCGGCATGCGCCACTTAAAGCTCCTCCCCCAAGGGCTTACCGAGGGATGACTTCTTTTAAAATAGTTAGTCAGGCTACTGTAGCCGCTCTAGAAAGGAACATTGTTAAATAATTAAGCTACCATTTAAGTCATTGTATTATTCAGCAGTTAACTGAATAAAGAGTTAAGTTTACATACTTCGTGTTCAATTCCTTTCTACTAAGCATCACAAAACAAACAACTTTACATTGGTCCTTCGAACCGGATATATACATATCCAAAGCAAACTTCGCATACATACACAACGAGTTTTAAGTGCAGCGAACATTAATTTCAAATAATACGTAAAATACATCATAAACATCGAGTGCTAAGTGCAGCGAACATTCATTTCGTATCAAACGTGGAATACATCGAGCGCTAAGTGCAGCGTACATTCATTTCGTATCATACGTGGAATACATCATACATATCGAGTGCTAAGTGCAGCGTACATTCATTTCGTATCATACGTGGAATACATCATACATATCGAGTGCTAAGTGCAGCGAACATTCATTTCGTATCAAACGTGGAATACATCGAGCGCTAAGTGCAGCGTACATTCATTTCGTATCATACGTGGAATACATCATACATATCGAGTGCTAAGTGCAGCGTACATTCATTTCGTATCATACGTGGAATACATCATACATATCGAGTGCTAAGTGCAGCGTACATTCATTTCGCATCATACGTGGAATACATCATACACATCGAGTGCTAAGTGCAGCACTGCATCTACACATACGCATTGGAATAAAACATCATCGTCGTATAGGATATCCCATACGAGTCAGAAAGTGAGTACCTTCCTTTACATACTATTTTCCTTTACATAAGTCAGTATTGATTCGCAATCAACATGTCAGAGTTAAGTAACTTAACGCGAAAACGCGGTAGTCTCAAAACTAAATTTACGAACTTTTCGAAATATTTAAAATCAGTGGAAGATGAACTGAAAAATAAAATTTCTACTGCTACTGATACAGGTAGCATCGCGTTATCGGAAGGCACTATAGCCGCTGTTAAAGAAACATTAAAGCGCATAACAACGGCATTTTCTGAGTTTGAACAAATTCAGGATGAAATTGAGCAATTAGTAATTGGGGACGATAACCTCCCCGAGCAATATGCGTATCGAGCCGATATCGATAGCACTTACCTTGATTTATATAGCCGATCACAAGAAATCGTTCTCGTACATAGTCCCAAACAAATTTTACCTAGTGATAGCAGTAGCAACGGCGAACCGCCGGGCTCAAACGTATTTGATCTAAGTAGTACGCGGTCAAGTTTCTTAAAATTGCCAACGATTCCATTGCCTATATTCGACGGTACTTTGCTAGACTGGTTAGAGTATCGTGAAACCTTTAACTCATTAATTAATAATAATTCTAAACTAGATCCCATTGAAAAATTCCACTATTTAAAATCATCAGTTTTAAAAACACCTAAGGAGGTAATAGAAGGTATAGCATTTACAGCTGATAATTATACCCTAGCTTGGGATTTAATCTGCGATCGCTTTAATAATAATAGGCGTCTCATTGATTCACATGTAGAAGCTCTTTGTAATTTGCAACCTCCTCAAAATGAATCAGCCTATTTATTAAGAAAGGTTCTTGATGGCATGAATAAAAATCTGCGTGCGTTAAAATTATTAGGTCAGCCTACTGAACACTGGGACACATTAGTGGTCTATCTCATTTCTCGTAAATTCGATGAAAAAACATTTAGGGCTTGGGAAGAATATAAAGCAGAGCGACCTGCAACTACAATTAATGACTTAAAAACATTCTTACTCAACAAGTGCGACTTGCTAGATTCTTTAGGTAATAAATCTACCCCTAATAAAAATAACTTTAAATCCATTAAAACTACCTCTAAGAATTTTTACGTCTCAAATACAACATGTACCATCTGTAAGGGCACTCATCCTACTTACAATTGCAAAGAACTAATACATTTGGCGCCAGCAAATCGCCTGGAGTTTGTCAAAGCTAAGGGGCTTTGTATTAATTGCCTTAAGCCAGGTCATAAATCTATCGATTGTAAATCTAGTAACTGTAGAAAATGTGGTCGCAGGCACAATACTTGTTTACACACAGATCGAACAGGTACACGTAATTTAAATGACATCAATCCAGAATCAAGTAGTGCCAATCATGAACCTACCTCGAATTTAGTTACAACAAACACTAGTAATTCATTTCATCAAGCATTCAATGTTCAAACAAATACGCATGTATTACTTTCTACGATTTTGGTTAAATTACGTGATAGATTTGGTAACACTCATGAATGCAGAGCCTTATTGGACAGCGGCTCTCAGTCTAATTTTATAACGCAAAAATTGTGTAATAAGATGCACCTGTCAAAATCGGAAATTAATCACAGGGTTAGCGGTTTAAATTCGGCCTCTACTCAAATAAATTACCAAACAAAGATTCAATTAATGGCTCGGCATAACAATTTCGCACTAGATCTCTCTTGCCTAGTTATTCCAAAAATATCAGACCAACTTCCTTCTATATCATTAAACAATGTAAATCTTACATTGCCCAATGTGATTTTGGCTGATCCTACGTTTACCCGACCAGGCCCTATCGATATATTAATCGGGGCTGGTAACTTTTTTAACATATTGTCGGTTGGTCAAATCTCATTAGGGGCAGGAAAACCAATATTACAAAAAACCCTCTTTGGGTGGGTCGTTTCCGGACCTCTACAGCTTACCAGTCATATAATAAATCAATCTGTCTCTCAATGTAATTTTTCGAACGACTTAGCTCATAACTTGTCCCAATTCTGGGAAATTGAAAATATTTCAATGCCTACATCGGCTACAATGTCCAAGGAAGAAAACTTCTGCGAAAAACATTTTGTAGAACACACAAGACGCGATGCAGATGGTCGATTTATAGTAAACATTCCTTTTAAACGTGATCCTAAAATATTGGGAAATTCTTACGAAATCGCCAGGAAACGCTTTTATGCTCTTGAGCGCAAATTAAATTCAAATGCGGAATTAAAAGAGTCGTATACTTCATTTATAAATGAATATATTGAGTTAAATCACATGAGTTTAGACAATAATCGTACATCCGCTACTCATTCACATTATTTCCTTCCGCATCATGCGGTAATTAAAAATCACAGTCTAAGCTCCAAAACAAGAGTTGTATTTGATGCATCCTCAAAAACCACGACAGGCATATCTCTTAATGATATTCAAGCCATAGGTCCCGTTATCCAACAAGACCTTTTTTCTATTGTATCTCGTTTTCGCAAATACAACGTTGCCGTTACTGCCGATGTAACAAAAATGTACAGGCAAATTCTCGTTTCTCCTGAACACAGATCACTTCAATCCATTTTATGGCGCCAGAATTCTAATGAACCGTTAAAAATATATAATTTAAACACAGTCACTTATGGCACAGCATCTGGTTCTTTTCTTGCGATAAGATCTTTGCAGCAGACAGCCCATGATCATAAATACATCTATCCTCAAGCCTCTCAAGCCATCCTACGGGATTTTTATGTTGATGATTTTTTATCGGGTTGCGATACATTAGACGAGGCGATAGAGTATATAAGACAAATTTCTGAAATTTTATCATCTGGATGTTTCGAGCTTAGAAAGTGGGTTTCAAATGAACCCCAGGCCCTACAATTCATTAAGCGTGATTCAGAATTAAAAATATTACAAATCGGTGAAAATGAAAAAACAAAAACCTTAGGTTTATGGTGGAATCCCAAAGACGACGCGTTTGAATTCTCAATTAGCCTTGATTGTGTTAGTAATTTAACAAAGCGAAAAATACTTTCATGTATAGCACAGATTTTTGATCCATTGGGACTATTGTCACCTGTCGTCATTCAGTTCAAAATTTTTATGCAACAATTATGGCAATCGAAAGCCACTTGGGACGAATCGCTCCCTCAAGCTCTCCAAACGCATTGGTTAAAGCTTTATAATCAATTACCTTATGTAAATAACATTCAAATTCCGCGACGCGTTATTATTTCGAAACCAAAAATAGTCGAATTGCATTGCTTTTCTGATGCAAGCCAAAATGCTTACGGCGCATGTCTTTACATTAAATCTGTAGATAACGAAGGCAATGTGCAGGTTAAACTGTTATGTTCAAAAACAAAGGTGGCACCTATAAAAATTTTGACCATACCTAGATTAGAACTCAGCGCGGCATTAGTGTCTGCCGAACTCGCAAAAAAGGCAATAGAATCGTTGGATGTAAGGTTAGCAACTGTTCGATATTGGACAGATTCAACTATTGTTTTGGCTTGGCTTCAATTAGAGCCAAATCGCTTAAACACCTTTGTCGCCAATAGAGTAGCGGCTATTCAATCTTTAAGCGATTCAAATTCTTGGGGGCACGTATCAACTGCAGATAACCCCGCGGATCTGCTATCTAGAGGCATAAGTCCGAGTCAGTTGCAAGAAGTTTCATTATGGTGGGAAGGCCCACCGTGGCTCCACAAATTAAATATTACCTGGCCAATCGTTAATTGTGACTTGAAAGAAATTCCCGACATAAAAACTACGAGTGTTAGTTTAGCCAGCATTAACGAAGAATCATTTTTTAAGTTTAAAACTTTCTCGTCACTAAACAAATTGAAACGTATAATGGCATATATTTTGCGGTTTTGCTCGCCAAAGCCAAATCGACTTAGCGGCCCTTTGTCGGCAACAGAATTAGACAAGGCATTTAATATACTTTTGCGAGTTGCGCAAAGGGAATCGTTCTCACAAGAATACGCTAAACTATCACAAGGTAAAAGTCTTGGGTACAAAAATAAATTGTCGGCATTAAATCCTATTTTTGATGATAAATTGATCAGGGTGGGGGGCAGATTAAGCAATTCTAATTATACTTATAATAAAAAACATCCGGTTATTTTGGATGCTAAACACCCTCTCGCGACATTATTATTTTCATATGAGCATAAACGTCTACTGCACCCTGGCCCTCAGCTTCTTTTGTCATCAATTCGCGAATACTGCTGGCCAATAGCAGGTAGAAATCTTGCAAGAAAGGTTACAAGAAATTGCATAACATGTTTTAAGGCCAATCCTAAGAGCAATAATCAAATTATGGGAAATTTACCTGCCGACCGTGTAAATATTAATAGTCCATTTAATGTCGTTGGCACTGACTACGCCGGCCCATTCACCCTTAAGGATAGAAAGGGCCGTGGCTGTAAAACTTTAAAGGCATACATCTGTTTATTTGTTTGCTTTGCCACCAAAGCAATTCATATCGAATTGGTTACTGCATTAGATGTCGAGCATTTCTTATCGGCTTTTAAACGTTTTATTGCTCGGAGAGGTCGTCCTTCTCGCATTGTATCAGACAATGGTACCAATTTTGTGGGCGCATCATCTGAACTACGCAATCTATTTAAATTCATTGATGATAATAATGCTTTTATTTCTAACGCAATATCAAATGAAGGAATAAACTGGAGTTTTATTCCTCCAAGGTCTCCACATTTTGGCGGACTTTGGGAGGCAGGTGTAAAAAGCGTCAAACACCATTTAATTCGCGTGACAAAGGGCAGTATATTTACTTTTGAGGAATTTTATACAATTTTAACTGAAATTGAATCAATACTGAACTCCCGTCCAATGACCCCTCTTTCAAATGATCCCCATGACTTGACTCCTTTGACTCCCGGTCACTTTCTAATCGGAAGGTCGATAACGAGTTTACCTGAACCTGACTTGACTCAAATGAAAACTACGCGATTGTCGAGATATCAACACTTAATTCAGATCCGACAACATTTTTGGTCACGTTGGTCCAAGGAATATATTTCCGAACTCCAGGTGAGGTCTAAATGGCATAAGGCGACACCCGGTATACCCATTGGAGCACTAGTCGTGATCAAAGAAGACAACGTTCCTGTAATGCAATGGAAGTTGGGACGCATTTTAGAAAAACACTACGGTACGGACAACGTGTGTCGTGTAGTGACAGTGAAAACACAAACGGGTGTGTTTAAGAGAGCAATGTCAAAGGTGTGCGCGCTTCCGATCGAAGAGAAAGGTGCCAGTGACTAAAAACATTAAACATTAAACATTGTATATAAAATTTAAAATTACTTGTTAATACTGATGTAGTTAGTATTTAGTTATTAATTTTAGCCCTAGTGATTACTGTTTGATTCACTACTGTACTAATGTTTATATTTTATTATTTATGCCCTAATAATTCATTGAAAGGCCTCCTTTCAAGGTGGGCGGTATGTTTGTAAATTCAAAGTATAAGTGCCTTAAGCGCCTCAAGCGGCATGCGCCACTTAAAGCTCCTCCCCCAAGGGCTTACCGAGGGATGACTTCTTTTAAAATAGTTAGTCAGGCTACTGTAGCCGCTCTAGAAAGGAACATTGTTAAATAATTAAGCTACCATTTAAGTCATTGTATTATTCAGCAGTTAACTGAATAAAGAGTTAAGTTTACATACTTCGTGTTCAATTCCTTTCTACTAAGCATCACAAAACAAACAACTTTACATTGTGGCGCATGCCGCTTGAGGCGCTTAAGGCACTTATATTGAAAATTTACAAACAAACAAAAAAATATTTAACAATTTATGTTATTTGATGTAAAGTTGTTATGTTTATATAAAAATTGTATGTCCAATAACTATGGTCCATGTGTCCAATTACTATATAAAATGTCATATTACTATTATAATATAATAATAATAATATAATACTTTTTTGCATATTTTTATAAAACTATTATTAAAAATTCAAATATTTTTATTTTAAAGTAAACGTAAATAAAATTTAATCCAAGGCACCCTAGATAAATCTATGAACGTTGTTGTATTCTTTTTTCAGTAGGTTTTCTAATTTATATAGTAATGAAAGAGTGGGTAAAGAGGCTTAGCCCTTAATAGGTGCGAAATTCCTGAAGCTGAATATTCAGCGGCAACCGGTGGCGGATTTATCGCCAAAGCTGAAGAAACGCGGGCATCGAGAATTTAAATGAAAATGAACGGAAAGCGTATGGGGGATAGGAAAATTCTCGTCGCGGCTAATCAAATGCAATATAGGTATGTATGCGCATATAAATACGAAAGCAATTTGCTTTACCTTTACAAGTAGTTTTTAATCTGAAAAAGGTGTCGATATTTCCCACTTATGAATTAAAGATTTATACGCAGCATTGCTATGAATTTGGGATCAGTTTGTAAGTAAGGTTACAAAAAATGTTGGTAATGCCCATAAAGGTTTTTTTAAATTTCATTGCATTATGCTTTTACCCTGCCTTAAGAAAAACTTTACATAAAATAAATTGTGCTTTTAAAGTTCTTTGCTAACAGTATGTTCAACTCTTTTTTATAACGAATCGCACACTGTTTAAAATATCTGTGGTGTAAAAAGTAATCTTAAAATGGTGTCAAAATCCAACACCATGAATTATGGTTGAAAATGTGTACCGATCGCGGCAAAGGCGGTGTGGATCACGTGATGTTCTTAAATCTCGCCTCTGTTGACTTACATGAAGAATATATAAACTCAGGTAATCCTTTGCTTTGGTGTGACACTACAAGTTGTTCGATACTAAAGAGACCTTAAATAGGTAGAAACAGCTGTCAATACTTGAAGTATTTTAAGTTAGTGCAACGTACTAAAAACATTATCTCTAGCGAGTTGAAGGTTCCATTTTCTGGAATAATACCACTGGTAATATACTAGTAATGCGTCAAGGAACTTCCTGTTTCCTTTTTTCTGTGTAGTATGATTTAATTTGTCCACAAACACATAATATTTAACACTAAAAAGGAGTTCAATTTACACCAAGTAAAATTTATTTTAATACTGTATGAAAGTTAAATTAACACCATTTTAGTATTTGAATTTACACCGGACCAACTAACCTTATTTAACACGATTTTGGTTTTTATCGATATAGACCATGTTTGGTGTTAATTTAGTGTTAAAATGGTCATGAAATTTTGAACAGTGCAGGTTGAAAAGATGTGCGATGATACGCGTCTTCTTGTTGTCCCCTTTAACTGGACTAGATTGACAGAATCTGTATAAAAAGACAATATTCTAGCAGTAACCAGTAATGTCACGGGAGATGTGTCAAACAAATAAATTAATATGTCATTTTATTTTTCAAACCTTTTGACATTATTTTACCACAAATTATAGCAAAGAAGGCATAAATTACGTGTCATGAAAAGGCAATACACATTTAGTGAAATTATTTGTAAAATTCAGTAAATTTGGTAAGAAATTTCATCCAAAATATATAAACGTCAATAAATATGTAAATTTTAGTTTATTCGGACTAATTCGGAAATGAAGACATATCGGCAAAAACTACTTCCGCAGGTGATGCAAGTGATCGCCGATTTGGCCGAAGCAAATGGCTCCACGATGAAATCCATTTCCACCCAACTCCAAGGGCAGAACCTCGTCAAACCAAACAACCTTCCGGTGCAGGTAAAACGGGCACTCAAACAAGGTTTAGAAACCGGACTGATCAAGCAACGGAGCGGGAAATACAGGTTGGGCCTTGACGCCAAAGACTACGCCATCTACAAGAGTTTCATGATGATGGAGGAGACCGGCTCGAAGCATCATAGAAGAAAGAGGAAGAAGATTAAAAGGAGGAGGAAACACAAGGAGTATAACAGCGACAGTGATGTTAGTATCGACGATACTCAAAACGATAGTGATGATACAGAATATGCTGAAGACGATTATCCAGACGATGAAAAAAGCAGTCGAAAGAATAGGAAATTCAAGTCGCGTGGGAAAACGCGCAGAAGAAAGCAAAGGAAGAATGTGGGTAAATCGGATAAAATCAGTTCCAAAACCGCACAAGAAGGTAATTCAATATCTTAACAGTATATTCGATGAAAAGCCTTTTCTTGCAGATTATACTAAAAATGATGCAGCCCTGTGCGACAACCCCGACTGCCTTTGTAATATGAAGTTGGACAAACATGGCACAAACTAAAATTCCATGTGCTTCCAAATAATTCTGTAAATTAATTTTTTATGTCTATTAAAATTTGTTTTTTTTTATAAAATAAAAACAAAAGAAAATGAGTTGGAACAAAAATTTTTTATTCATTATATTGACAATGGGAATGATTGAAGTGCATCTCAAAGTTCAATTTTGGAGCAGTTTTTCAAGTATCACCAATAAACTTTGAATATTGAATAGTTTGTAATGTATCAGCGTACACCAAAGACTTTAAATAGTACCACAAGAAGTAATGGAGTGGCGTCAAATTGCATTCGCCACCTAGAAAAGCAGTGGTACTTTCTTTAGAAAATAATCTCTACTATAGAAAGCAACAAACCAATCAGAGCACGGCATTCCCCACCGCACCTTGCGTGCTTTTTCGAGACAAGTCAAAATGTGACCTCTGTTTTTGATATTTATTAAAGAAAGTTTTAACATTGTTAAACTTACTTATTCTGGACCCCTTTGATCCACACAGTAATGTATTATGGAATCACTGGGAATGGTTAAAGCAACACGGGCAAATTGCTTTAATAAAGAACGGATTAATCCTTTAATTTTTTTCAAGGTTTCGCGTAAAATTACACCGGCGTAAATGCCTAATTACTTTGGTTTCGATGTTTTAAATTTTAATACAATTTATTGGCAGATTTAAAAACTGTTCAGTGTTTACCAACGTTCGATAAAAATCGGACAAAGAGGAGCGATTAGTGGTTAATCCAACTGGAGACATGACGGATTTCACGCTTGTAAAAAGAAAACGTAAGATTTTCGCCGGCTAAATAGAATTTCGTAAATTTGATTTACTTGAGAATTTTAAGCGATTTAAGAACACTTTTTGATATCCCCCAAAATAAATAAGGAAAAAGCACTATAAATATTTGCCGAGGTATGCATTAAACTGTAGATTATTTTAAAACGTTTTACTTTATTTGATATTTACCTAATTGTGAACTCATTTTGCTATCAAAAGAAAAGTTTAAGGGTACGAAGGGCAAACTTCTTATTGCTAAAAGAATAAAATACATATCCTATAGCTTTATAGAGCTTAAAACTTTATATTCATGTTCGTATAATAAAGTCTCTTATTATTATCGATTGGGTGGTATTTAGTTAAAGGAAAAGTGTTTTAATGATATTACAAGCCTTTAAAGTAATTGTGATTGTTATTTTATTAAGATATGTCAAATAAAAAAAATCGTAAAAAAGTAGTTTAGGCATAAGGTTAAACATTTTCTTAAATCTTACTTTGTGTTGAATTACTTGAAATAAAAGTGGTAAACTATGCTTAACAATGGATATCCCAAGGTGCTTCCCTAAGGCATCGATGCTGCACTCAAACCACTACATTCGGATTGCTATGGGGAAGAGTTTTCGGTAAATATGACATCACTGTATAGTTTCACAAACTCGATTTTCGATGATTTGCAAATATTTACTTGACCATATTACAATTCTAACTTCGTCGTGATTCCGTCGGTATACCCTTGCTGTAAAATCCAATTAAATTGGAAATAAAATGGTTTGAAACAAATAATTTAATAACTTTTGCTGCAATAACGCCTATGAATGGACTATTTTTGCTTTGTATAAATATGAAAACCGCAACATTTTGCCAACTAAAATCCGCTAAAGCCGTTTTACCATCCACAAAACGCTGCACTAACGATCACTAATCACTGCCCGAAATTTTGTTTCGAAGTAACTGACATTGTGTTCATTGACAGAACTCGAGTTTACATGTTGTCAAAAGCAAAGATTAAATTTGAATGAATTTCGAATTATTACGAAATAATAACTTTGGAAAAAAATGTTCTTGTTTAACCACAACCTTTTTAATTAAAAGGATCTATAGATCCTATCTATAGATCTATAGATCCTACACTGCATCCCAGTAAAAATAAGAAAGTTGAATATTGAAAGTTGCAAAAATGGCGGATGCGCCGGGATATTGCAATGTTTTACAAAACTGTGAATAAAATTGTAAAACAAATTAATTCACAATTTTTATGTTCATAAATATTAAATGTACAATAAGATATATTTTGGAATGAAATTCCATTTGTTCTTTTGGAAAACAATCTACTATTAGTTAGTTGAAAAGATGATAATTTTGTTCCATTATGGAACAAAATTATCTTCTTTTATACCCTCTATAAATTTGATAAAAATAGTTTCATTAATGAAAAAACTGAAGAGAAGAAAATTTAACATTTTGGGTAAAACTATATATGGAACAAAATAATTACTATAAATTTGATAAAAATAGTTTCATTAATAAAAACTGCAGAGGAGAAAATTTAACATTTTTGGTAAAACTCTGCTTTATTATTTTAGCTGAGATGTTTCTAGAAATAAGCCTCCCATTAGTTTTTATTTTCTCCGAGATCGGACAAAGTCTGCAAGTGTCCCTAAAATCGCATCTAACCAAACTGCCGCAACGTAACAACCACCAAAATATCTCGAGCCTTTTGGACAACCTTTTAAGGGGCTACGACAACAGCATTAGGCCGGATTTCGGAGGTACGTACTAAATAACCAATTAAAATGAGATTACGATTAAAGCACGTCATCTGTGAGCGGAAATGCAAACGCAAAATGGTGTCACTATCATAATTTAATTCCAATTTGTATGATTCTAATTAATATAGTTTTGATTTTAAGGCCCGCCAGCTATTGTTGAAGTGGACATTATGGTTAGGAGCATGGGTCCCATTTCTGAAGTAGATATGGTATGATAAAATCTCTTTGTAGTATATTGAATCAGTTAACAAAACATTAATGAAACTTAATTAAGTTTATCTATACTTTTAAACACAGTACGAGGTGTGTTCAGAAAATATCGGGAATTTTCGTTTTTTGAAACAAATATTTATTTATTCGTCTACATTAATGTTGTCGCCTTCAAAATAGTCCCCATTGGATATTATGCACATGTGACAGCTCTTCTTCCAATACTCGAAACACTTCTAAAACTCGATCTTTGGGATAGCCTTTAGTTCTATCAGTGATGCGCTTTTAATGTCATCTATGCTTGTAAAACGACGGCCCTTTAAGGATCTCTTTATTTTTGGGAATAGGAAAAAGTCAGACAGAGGCATGTCTGGCGAATATGGAGGCTGGGGCATCATTACAGTATTGTTTTTGGACAAAATTTTTAAAAATTTTGGAACAAATTTTGCTGCCACGCGTTTCATACCCAAAACATTCGAAAAAATTTCATGAGATGAGCCAATCGATATACCAACATCATCAGCGACTTCTATGATGGTTTATAACCATTTCTTCCACTTTTTCCATGTTTTTATCGCTTGTTAATGTGCTTGGGCGTTCGGGGCGTTCGTCAACTTCAACGTCTTCACGGCCATCTTGGAAAGTCTTATACCACTTGTAAACTCTTGTTTTGCTTATAGCAGACTCACTATACGCTTTTTTAACATTTCACAGAATTTATTTCATTTTTTAAGCAAAATTGGATACAAATTTCTTTGATCCATTTCTTTTAAGGAACGTAAATCATCGAGATCATAAAACACGTCCAACCTTAGCGGCTGCCACAGACAAAGTAAACGATGAAAACAGCTAAAGTTTTTATCATACTTCGGGGGCATGTATACCAACATAATAAAGAAAATTTTAAGACAACCGGACCCTCCGAACCCGCGAAATTTAACAATTCCCGTTATTCTCTGAACACACCTCGTATACTGTTTATCGGAATTTCAACTAGCTCTCTTTAAATACTCCCACAAAAATCTCACATACTAAGGTCTGGAGAACAAGGGGGCCAGACCAGAATAACTGTGAACAATTGTGGAGTTTTTTTTAGACTTACTCTATGGATTGTTATTTCCGTCAATCATGGGTGGATCGGAGATTGGCCTTCTCCGGAAATGCCAGCGATACCCTGGCTCTGAGTATATCAATGTTGAAGAGAATTTGGAAACCCGATACGTATTTTTATAACGGGAAGCAGTCATACTTGCATACCATCACTACGCCGAATAAATTTGTGAGGTTGTACCAAAACGGAAGGGTCCTATATTCATCTAGGTAAGTTTTTGTATGATTTTAAAACTCCTTAAATAGTTACAATGTATAATTAAACTTTAAAATTGCTTCCCATGTGCACAAGAACACTTATTAATTGACAGCCTATTTGCGTTGCCTCTTCTACGGTGGTTTAATTACAAGCTATTTCTCTACGAAACAGCGAACTTGAAACAAATGAAAGCAAGAAGTTTAGGCATATATACCTATAGTCAAATTGATAAATAACACTTTGCAGTAGTGTAGAACCTTTACTTTGGTCTTTTTTACATCATGAAACGCACACGCTTCAAAAAAGTCGTATTTAGACTTTATACAGTGACTTACAACTTGTAAGATACAAGCTCAATATTTTTAATACTTGTATATACAGGGTGTCCCAACAAGAGAGGTCGATTGCTTGCGAAATTTTCTTTCGAATTCGCAAAATTGCAGGAATTATTTCATTTTTAAAGCCACCAATAGGAGCCCAGTTTTTCTGCTCTATCGGACGAGTTTTTGTTACATTTTTTGTGTTTGGAAAAGACGATGATATTCTATTATTGGGAAAAAACAAATTTGGTGCTTGTTTTCGCAAGCTCTGAGTCTACAGCCGGGGCTCACCTATACAGGGTGTTTTACATTCGTGGTCCATTAAAAGTTTCTGGGGAACGGCAAAAGATATTGATTTTAAATTTTTAAAGAGTATTTTTCTAAAATATTTTGAACAAAATTCCGGTTTGACCGGAAGTGACATTAAATTTGTTATATATATATGTGTGTCATAAAAACTCGATATTTTTGTTTTCTTGCTCTCCACCCAAAATATCGTAGAATATGTCCGAACAAATATTCTGTTTAAAGCGGAGCTCATAATTTCAATTTTAAGAGGTCCTTCATCGAATCTGAAGTTTTTCCGCTTAAATAACACAGAAAACTGACTTTTTTACCTTATTTATTCTTTCAACCTAGGAAGAATTTTTCTTCATGAAATTCATGACTAATTCTTACAAAGCATTAAATTTGAACAAAAAAATCTTATTAAGCCGAATTTCTATTTTCATTATTTGATTTTTTACAGAGCTTTAAATTTAAAATGTTACGTTTTTTGCCTTTTTCAGCTAAACCATTGAAGTTAGACGAAATGGCAATTTTTTAGCTTGTCTGATGGACCACAAAAAAGTTTTAGGCGAATTTTTTGTATCGTCAATATTCTAAAAGTTACAGGCGTATAAAGTCATCATTTTTGTATTATTAACTTTTTGTTAGTGAAATATTAATGTTAGCATATAATAATTACAGATTCAGAATTTTTTGTACGATAATAGTTATTAAAATATTATTATTAGTATTTTAAGCAATAATTCACTGTAAACAATGGAATAAGACATGATATTCTTATAAAATTTTGTATCTATTGTCAATTGTTTATCTGATTTACTTAAAAAAACATCGAAATAAGCTTAAATAAGTCTGTAAATTTTAATGGTTAACAGTACATCAAATTTTACTAGGACAATTTTTCCGAAAATTAATTTTTTTTTATAATTTTCTATTGACTTTTTGTCTTTTTCGTCTAACTTCAATACTTTAGCTGAAAAGGGCAAAAATCCTAAAATTTTAAATTTAAAGCTCTGTAAAAAATCAAATAATGAAAATAGAAATTCGGCTTAATACGATTTTTTCGTTCAAATTTAATGCTCTGTAAGATTCAGTCATGGATTTTATGAAAAAAAAATTCTTCCTAGGTTGCAAGAATAAATAAGGAAAAAAAGTCAGTTTTCTGTGCTATTTAAGCGGCAAAACTTCAGAATCGATGAAGGACCTCTTAAAATTGAAATTATGAGTTCCGCTTTTAACAGGATATTTTTTGGGAGATATTCTACGATATTTTGGGTGGAGAGCAAGAAAACAAAAATATCGAGTTTTTTTGGCACACTTTAATATATATATATATTATATTTACATTTTTAAATTCTACATAAAATTCTGAGTGAAATACCTTAACCATGTCCTATACCTAAAGCAAAAATAGCCCATGTCGTTATTATTTTCGCGGATATGGGGGGTGGAATTTTTGTAACCCTAAAACAATGTTAAACAGACTTCATGTAAATTGTTTAACATAGGTATCTCAACAAATTACGGAGAAAATGTAACACCCTGTATGTTTTTACATAATCAAAGTAGTAATTTTTTCAATGCGCGTCAATCAAAAATAGCTTATAACTTTTTTGTTATTAGGTTTGCAGTTAAGGTGGTAGTATTTTTGGAATCTTAAAACATTGTTTAAAAAATTCCATGTTTATTTTTTTTTAACATTTTTCACAAATTACCTGAATAATTATTAATTTAACGAAAAAAATGAATAACTCTAAAACTATTCTCTTCAGAAACTTCTAATGGACCACGAATATGAAACACCCTGTATATAGAGCAGAAACACTATAACCCTGCGATTTTGCGAATTCAAAAAAATTGTAAAGTAAATTTTGTCTTATATTTTCGTAAGAAATCGACTCCTTCGTTGTCAGGTAAATTTGTATATACCCTGTATATGAAAAAATTCATCATAATCGAATCGCACAATTAATATTATTATTAGATTCTCGAATGCATCTATAGAGCATATTCAGAATCAATAAAGCTTGAACGCGCGGTGTTTGTATTCGAATTTTGTAAACAAATTTAATTGCATATACCAGTAACGCTCACTCAGTGCTTGATGAGGTTAATTGAACTCTCATCTAAACCTAAAATACCCTTAAACGAGTAATACATAACCTTAAACGTCTATTTAACATACTACATTAACGATATAACATCGAATAACAGAAACATATTTTTTTAATTAGGTCTTCTTATAATTAATTCACTTCCCAAATTTAATATTTTACTTTCTTAAATTTAGTTAAACGTAGCTTAGTCCTTATTTAATATCGGCCATAGAGATTAGGTAAACAGATCCGCAAAAACATTAAGTATGAAAGATGGACAAAAGGACAAGAGTAGAAAGCCCTCTTAACAAAAAGCTTCCCGAAATTAGTTATACAGGTCTAAGAAACCTATCAAATTTTCCTTCGAAATCGATCCGGGCAAGATAAAGGGTTATTTTTAATATAGGTACGGTAAAGTAGGATTATATGGTTCTTTTTCTGTATTACTGAGTTTTCTTTTTTAGCAAGATAATTTAGGTATATTTCAGTTGTTTCTCATAGCCTTTTTTTACTTAAATGTCATCTAAATTATTTCTTAACAGTCTAAAAACAATTTTCTTTAACACTGTCTAAATGACATTTTAATGACAAACATCATAACTCATTATTAAATACGTTTTTTCGTAAAATTATATCGTAGGTCAAGGTTAAAATAATTAAAAATTATATGTATTTTTTCTAAATTATTGCTAAATTTACCATATTACCTACCCTACTTTACTCTAATATTTATCCCATCTATAACAAATTATTCCAAAATATCAAACAAATAAAACGCATTGGACCGTTCTCTTATTCTATTATACTTTGATGTTTCCAACATTTTAAATGTCGAAAATTATTCATTCATTGGTTGCGAAGGCAAATAGGCGAGTTATTCCTTTACTTTACCCCTGTCTGAAGCTGAAGCTGAATTGTGTTTCATTCCATTCACGCTCACGTTCAGTAAATCCCCAAAAACAAGATGTTTGAGATGTAAAGTTTATTTTGTGTCCCAATAAAAAATAAAAATGTATCATTATAAATAAAAAACTATTTTATATTCGATATTTATATTCAGAAATATTAGGTAAACTATTAAAAATTACCTTGAACAATTAAGTATTTTTTTAGACTTACTATCAAGGCCGGTTGTCCAATGAATTTAGAAGATTTTCCAATGGATATACAGAGATGCCCACTGAAATTCGGTTCGTGTAAGTAACAAGTTAACCTTGTGTTTTATTTTATTGTCATATTGATTTTATGTTTATACCCCCTATAAACTACCAGCAAAAATTAGATTTAGCCATTAACTTTTACTGTAGTAATAAAAATGTAAGCATTGATAATATTATTGGATAAATAAATTTGTTACATGGTTTTAAATATTATTTTAATAAACTATATATTTAGAATGATTTTTCATTATATTATTTTATTTAACATATTACTTTAAAAACATCCATTTTCTATTATTCTACAGTTGGCTATACAAACCAAGACGTGATCTACAGATGGAACAAACATCGGCAAGTTGCCATAGCAGAAGACATGAAATTGTCACAATTTGATTTAATAGCAACTCCAGCAGCTAATAACACAGATACTCTAGTAAATAGCCACACCCAGTCAGAAATACCTTCAAGATTTAAAAAACCCACACATTTAAGTAAGTATCACGTCAATATTTTACAATCCGGCAACACTGTCTTGGAACAGCAACACAGCCGATTTAAATTCGCAATGACATTGTAAAGGTGCATTTTTCGAATATATTCCTGCAAGTTAATAACTAAGGTATAACCCAGTACAGCATCAACATTTAAGCCGCTTATTTTCTCTATAATCACAGTAATAGTATTAGAACTTACACAATTAGTGACTCCTTGTTAGTCGACTTATTATGTTAAACTAAGGCACTTATAAACCATAGGAAATCTAGTTTGCGAAATTCATAAGTAGATGCAGTTAAATGCGCCAAATTCATTATTAAAACACCAAAGAACATGCAGTAAGGAGAAAATGTAACTTACATTTAATTATTCTTCCGGTTTTCCGCATAAAAAACACTTTTAAACTCACTTAACACAAAACACTTTTTAAAACAAACGCAACTGTCAAAACAAATAAAAATAGACAGACCAAAATGACAACCCCAAAAAGTGAAAACTTTAAATTCTTTATTTTAGCGGAATACTCCATGTTATTGGTGAGTTTTCATCTACAACGTCACATGGGAAATTTTTTAATACAAGTATACGGCCCTTGTACACTATTGGTGGTTTTATCATGGGTTTCATTTTGGTTAAATCGGGAAGCAACCGCCGATAGAGTATCACTGGGTAAAAAACTAACTATACGTTACGACTTTGATCGTTATTTAATTATATTTTAGGTATTACAACCGTTTTAACGATGACTTTTTTGGGTTTGGAGGCTAGAACGGATCTCCCTAAAGTTCCCTACCCGACGGCGTTGGATTTTTTTGTGTTTTTATCATTCGCGTTTATTTTTGCCACAATAATACAAGTATAGTATATTCATAAAACAGAAAAGATCGCGTTTTTATAATTGTGTTCATTTTAGTTCGCGGTGGTGCATTATTTCACTAAATATGGATCTGGGGAGTGTTATTTTAGTTCAGACTTTAATTCGGATTCAAGTAGCGACGACGAGGATTGGAACTCACTGGAAAAAGAAGTCATCCACAATACACCAACTGTAATGCATTAAAAAACATTTCCAAACATTAAATTCATATTTTTTACTTGTAGATATCTGGACACAACTCGAGAAAAAACAGCCAAGCACTCCCGTTTCCTCTTTACAACACCAACGACCATTTATTGGAGGTTATACCACTATCAGCCTGCACAATTCCTGTCAACCCCGCCAGGCGGTCGTCGTGGTCGACTTTGTCCTCCTGCATTGCCAAACCCGAGTCCACTTACCTACCAGGAATGCCGCAAACATCGAATGCGCCTTCCAAAGCAGTCTACCCAACTGGACACAGACCTAGGAGGAGAAAAAGGCGTACCCCAAGGTTCAATTCCGTCTCAAAAATCGACAGAGCGTCCAGAATTGTTTTCCCGCTACTATTTTTTACTATTAATTTGGTTTACTGGTGGTCCTACTTGTCCAGGACCAACAGAATACATAATTTAAACGTCAAATAATATGTTTTGCTTTTATTTTTTATAATAATTATTGTGGACCAATATGTTGTATTTATAATAGTTTTTAGTGATATTTATAGTGAAATAATACTAAATGTGTTCATTACAACGCTTCATTGTTATAGAAAATTGGGTATATTTAATTTTAGATGTAAAATATGACAGATTTTATAATAAATGTTACTAAAATGGGACTGGTTGTATTATTTTTAAATTAAATTAAAATCCATAAAAATGCGGCGTTGCCATATGGTCCCCTATTCTGTGCACAATGGCAACATTGTTTGAAACTTTTAAATTTTGTGTTTGTAACTTGATTGATAATTTTATAGTGGCTGTACAAATGTAAAACAGCCTTAAACATATTAAAATAACTAAAAAATCTTTTTACATGTCAAATTCGTTTTTTGTATTTAATTGAGAAGAAGACTAACCTAAAAACTTGACTAGATTCTGTGTAGCAGCATCAAGATTGCACATTCAACATTTACAGTGTTGCCAGTTGGAACAGAACTTGAATATATGCAACTAAGGTCGCATTTAAGGATACTTTTTATGATAAGACGGTTTGTCTATGGTCCGCCCGCTTCGAAACCAACCCAAACCCAACAACCCAACCCAACCGACCCCGCCCCATTGCCCCCCCCCCCGCCCCATTGAGTAAAAATTTTTCAATGAATATTCATTTAATTACATTTTATATTATATAACTGTAGCAAAATGATTATGAGGAAAGGTAAATAAATTAAAATATTAATATAAAATTAAATATAAATGCTTTTAAGGCCACATTGTATTATTTCGGTATATAAATTCTTTAAAAAAAAATTAAAAAAGTTATGGAGGCGCCAAGTATCGAACCCCGTATCTCTCGCATGCAAAGCAGGCGCCCTTCCATCGAGCTACCGAGCTTATTGTAGAAATTCTATTACTCGAAAAATAATACCGATTTACAGTGTGTGACGTCACAAAGTGTTAACGGGAGCGCAAACATTATGCTGCACAAGCTGGCAACACTGCAATGGTTAAATGTGCAATCTTGATGCTACTTCACAGAATCTAGTAAAAACTTGGGACACGTCAAATATGGTAAATAAACATTAAAAATGGACAGCGAACGGGCAAAATTGCTGAATCTATTGTACCCAGATGAATACCCAGGTAATATTTATACAAATAAGCACAAAATGAACCCAATTTAACTATTTTTAATAGCTGAATGGGATTATAATGTACAACTTGACGAATACTTAACAAAACTTGGTTCCTATAAAGTCGATGATTTAATAAAGGAACCAACAAGATTGCGGGATGAAAAAAGCGCGGTGCACGACCAAACGCAAGAATTAGCCCTCACAAACTACAAAGTTTTCATAGAAACAGCTGATTGTTCGAGAGACCTTTTCACACAGTTTAAAGAGATAGATGGTAAAGTTAACAAGGTTTTAAGCTGTTTACCGGAGTTTGAGAAGAAGTGTCATGAATTTAACGAGTCTACAAGTGGCATTAATCATTTGAGAAAGCTAAATTCACTTACTCTGACAAGAAATGCTCAGCTATTGGAAATTTTGGAAATGCCTCAGTTAATGAGCAGTTTTATCAATGATGAGTTGTATGAGGATGCTTTAGAGTTGGCAGGGTATGTAAGGAAGCTGTATAATCAACACCCAGACATACCAATATTTAAGGTTAGTTTTTTAACTATAATCGTAAACTTAAATTAATTCTGTAATTTAAAGAGCATTTTGGATGATGTAAACCAGGCTTGGTTACTTATGTTGCACAAATTATTGTCGCAACTCAGTCATGATTTAAATTTACCTAAATGTCTACAAATTGTTAGTCATTTACGACAAATGGAGGTTTTTACCGAGTCTGAGTTAAGGCTCAAATTTTTACATGCTAGGGATTTATTTTTGCAAAATTGTCTCACCGCCATTCCTAATGAAGACGGTATGTACAATAAATTCATAAAAAAAAAACAAAAAAAACATGTTCTCTTTTAGTAAATCATCATATAACTAAAACTATAGACGTAACAAGGGTAAATCTGTTTAATATTGTCACGCAATACAAAGCAACGTTTAATGATGATGAACACAGTCCTTTAGCATCCATAAGAAACAGTAACATTAACCAGAACGTAATTTTTTATAGCTGGATTAATAAAAAGGTAAATTATGTCAATATAAGGTAGCCTAGATAACTTTATGACGTCATCGTTTATTAGACATTTATGTTTGACATGTATAGTCCAAATTTTTTTAATCTGAAATGTCAAAAAATGCTTTATTGGATTTATTTAATTTTGTAACTCAGAAGTTATAAAATTTAAAACTCTTTAATTAAGTAATGTTAAGCTTTATCTATAGATTCTTTATTTCAAATTAAACGTTTCCTCGCCTTTTATTTTTCGATTTATAACCTAAAATGTGATTATCGCCAAGGTATAGGTTACTGTTATGACGTCATACTGGGCTATCTGTCAAAATGATAACCTCAAAATCACGTAAAACTGTTTGTTTTAGATTTCTGAGTTCCTCAAAACCCTTGAAACTGATTTAAGTAGGGGGGTTAATTCTGTAGAGTCAATTTTGGGTCAGTCAATGTATTTTGGGTTGTCTTTCAGTAAAGTTGGGTGCGATTTTCGGTCGTTGATGATTCCGATTTTCACTGGGTGTATTTTGAGGTATTTTCAGGATTCCGTTAAAAAATCTTTGGTTAGTTTCGAGAAAAATATCGAGAAATTTACGTTAATTAATAAGAATCACCCGAATGTACCTTGGAAAAACAAAACTGAGGACCATATGCAACCACCAGATAGTTTGTTGGAGTTTTATCCACTAGCAGAGTATTTAAATAATATTTTAAATGCTTTAAATGAGTTACGGGTATGCGCCCCGATATCTATAATTGATGATATAGTTAACTCTTTAGAAGATTCATTAATATTTATATCAAAATCTATTCTAATATTATATACACAAGAAAAACAGGCATTCACCCCAAACTCCAAAGACGCATTTACACGTTTGTGCATGTGTTTTGCTGATGACTTGGTCCCCTATCTTCAAAAATCCATACACATCATTTTCCCACCAGGAAATATTGCTGCAAAGTTAGGAATAACCGTACAAACTCTACAAAATGAAAATATATCGTTCTTTGACAAAAATAAGATTGTTGAACATATAGGCCATTTATTACCGACAAAAATAGAGCCCGAGATTCATCTTGAAGAAAATATTGTCGAGAAAAAACAAGAGGACTCAAAAAAGAGTGAATTATAGATTTTTGTATGTAATATTTATTGTTTGTAAGTAATAAAAACGTTAAACAACATAGTGTTTTAATTACATAATTTTAACATAATTAGTACCTTTTATATTTCCATAAAACACCTTAATTTTACAAAACACACTCCTATTAATCCATATTAATTGTCTTGTAGTCCATATTAGTCTATTCACAGCACTTTTTATAACCTAAAATTGTATCATCTAAAACTTGTATATTTTATTATTCGTCTTGCGTTAGAGGTCTCCTAAACAACAAAACATGTGGTTCGGGGCCGTGCGCCATGTAATGCATCCAATTGGGGCTCTGCTGCACCCCCAAATTCCTCCATTCAGTTTCCGTCATCAAATGCGACCTAGGCACTAATTTAGCCAAATCGGGCGGTAGAATTACGTGTCGGTATTCGTATTGAACGTCGAAGTACTTTTCCGAGTATTGTATGTTCTCGGCGGGCATTTTTTTCGTGTTTTTTAAAGGTAAACAAGGATTAAGGGTTTGTAACCTCACTTTTTGACGTGTGTGAAGTTTGCAATAATATTGCGTGAAATACGAGGGGCGTTTGAAATGTTGAAATAAAATGCAGAAATATTTTACTATAAAACGATATAATTTAATTTCTAAACCTATAAATGTTGAATAAATGATTAATATGCCTTTTCGTTCAAATTCCTTGGACTAATTCTTCTTAAAATAATCTTATTTTGGTGTATTGGCCTTTTACAGTAGCTATTTTGTATTTCTTTTGGTTTTCTCATGTAAATTTGGGGTATTTTTGTGATATGTTTGTTCTTATAGAGTACATTAATTTCTGTTGTATCTAAATCCCTACTTTCCTCTTTAATTTCTTCAATTTTAACCTGTGATTCCCCCATGGTCTGCGTTGCCATATCTATTTGTTGCAGCTCTGTTGTACTTTGACTATTTTCTAAGGATGATAAAGAATATGTATCTTCTTTATTTTTGATTGGCGGCATGCAGTAAAATGAAAAAATGTTTTTACAATGCGTCGGTGCTACTAAAATTGTGTCCGATATTCTTTTAAAGTCTTTATGGTTTGCGTGTTTTTCGTTACAATTCATAATTTGTAATTTTAATGTTTTTAGGTGGAGGATTTTACTGTTTAACTCTTGGCAGTCAACGATTGTTTTGTTTTTTATGTCTTGTAGTTTTTTCAGTATACAAATTGATGGTTTATTTTCGAATAATTTTTTGAAATTACTGTTTTTTAATATCATTTGTCTTGTGAAAGTTTCCTTGTTTTGTTTTAGGTTTTGAATCATTTTCGTTAAGTCCAGGACTTTTTTGAACGTTTTTCGTAATTTTTTCTGTAAGTATATTTTAATGTTGGTGATTTTACGCGATATTTTCCTGATTTCATTGGTCAGAAAGTTTGAAGAATCTACACAATTTTCTATCTATAAAAAATAAAATGTTTTATTTACATTATAAAAAATAATCTTGGGTAATTTAACCTGATTTCTTGAAGTAAATTTCTGAATTTCCAAAGCTTTAACAGCAATCTTATCAATGTATTTTTTTAATATTAAATCCCCAGAATATTCCAAAACTGTCACAACATTTTTTCCATTCAGATTCCTCTTAACCAAACTTCTTAACATGTTTAGATAATTTAAAATGATTTCATTGTTTATTAAAATATCCATTTGGTTGTTAACTGCAATTTTATCATCCAAAACTTTGTAAAGATTGGCTGATGAATTTCTTAGTAGTAAAACTTGCATTATATTTTCTTTGAACTGACCAACGGTCAAAAAATTGTTTATAAATTTAGTTTTGTATATCGAAATCGACACTTTCATGATATCATTCATTAATTCATTCTGATATTTAACTATATCTCTATTACTAATCTCCACAGTACTTATTGAGTGTACACTTTTCAATTTAGTTCTTCTATGGGTAAGCAGCAAAATATTTTTACTGTTGATATCACCAGAAAATGTTATGGAATTATTTCTCGGGTCATTTTTATCGTTCAGCATACGGTTGATGATGTTTGTTATTACATTCTTTTGTATGTCGTTCAGAAAAATGCAGTGGATGTACTTTTCACAGTTGTATGCTTTTTCCATTTTTAGTATCGAAATTTTGCTTTCTTATAACGGGACATATTTTATTTGGCAGGTGTCAAATCAAGGATTTTTGAAAATATTATGGTAAAAATACTAAATCTTGGTCAATTTTCTTTAGTTTTATTAATCTAAATAAATAAACAATGTAAAATTTAATAAAATGACAATTTTATAATTTAATTATTATAATTAACCTTACTCGAATGTATGAATGATGAAAATCGTGGGATAAATCATTCAAACAACAAATGCAATGCTTATTAGGTATATGTATGACACAGAAAAAGATGTCGTGAATCGATTACACATTGAAACATTTAATATAGAGAAACGGCAGTGTTTCGAGAACGATTTTTGGTATTATATATATATATATATATATATAAGCCCATCTAAAATCCGAGTCCTAATAAAGGTACTCGCGTTGGACAATTGAGCGATAAGATTTTAAAATCTACACATGTAAAGGTTATACGATTTTGTATCCGGTGCAAACAGCATTTCTCCCAAGGAAAATATTTATCCTTTGGAAAATTTTATCCTATGAAAAAATTTCTCCTATGGAAAATTTTCTCCAATGGAAAATATTTCTCCTACGGGAAACATTGTTGGCACTTCATGCCTTAACGTTATGTTAAATCAAACACGGATTTCAAATATTTACACATGACTTATTTGTTTGTTCCTATCATCTATAACATTACTTATATGTAACATATAGAATGTGTTCAGAAAAAGTTTAATGTACACATTATATGATGTTTTATGATAACATTCATGTATTAACTTTCACCATTTATTATGGTTAGTTACGTTTTGGTTACAGCTGAGACTTATAGATACGTCTTATACTAACGAATTTAAGTATTATTAAGTACTTATGTAACAAGTTTTCGATTTAAGTCTGGACAAACAAGTTAAAACCATTGTTTTATTATTAATCGTAGATATTAAATGCATATACCCGGCTATGTGTATTGTGGACCTGGTACTACTTTTACATTAAACTTCCAGACTAATCTCCGATAAAACTGTGTTACATTCGTAAATCACATGTGTTAACAATATTGTAATGCTCGACCTTCCACGTTATCTTTTTTTACTCGAAAAAATAAAGATAACGTTCCAACAGGTACTAATAGCAATTAATAAATTTTACAAAGTAGTAGATGTTATAATATTACAAGAAATTGTACCAATTTTTTTGGTCAGACTTAAAAGTCGAAACAAATGGTTAAAAAATAAGTTGAAAAAAATACGGTTCATTTTTTTTTGTATAGATAATGAAAAGTCTCTTGGGTTTATTTGGATGACACTGGTCCTCACTCATCAGACAATTTTTACTAGTTTCTATTGTATGTAAGTATGAATAGTATGGCTATTTGATATTTAGAGGTGTAGGTATATATTTTTATACATGAAATTTGAAGGATACATTTATATTTTTTATACAATTCTTACCGGTATTTCGAACAAATCAACAAAAAAATACCAACAAAAAGTTTAATCCCTTGTGGTATTTCCTTCTCAAAAACGGTTGTATTTACACATAATATACCAACATTTATTTTATGTACTATTTACTAGAGTTGTATGTAGCGCTGTATAATATATATCATTTTAAAATAATTCCGATTATTATAATATAATAATAAAAATCTATTCTAAACATCGATTTCTATAAATATGTTTGTAAACAATGATTCTATATAGTTTTAGTTTTATGTCTGGGTCTCAGATAAAGTCTCTAAAATGTTTTTTGTAACATGTAAAAAAAATCGTCGGTGTAGCAAAATCTATTAGTCACTATTTGGGGGATATACGTCTTGTCTGTTGGGACCGGGGGAATTTGTAAAACCAAAAAACCCCAGGCTAGACTAAGTAACTAAAACTAGTTTTATTTTGTGCGTGTGTCCAAAAAGTCTGTTAATTTGTCCATATGATATATTATTAAGTAAAGCTGTTTCTGACTAGTGATTCAGTCTTGGTATTTGGTTTTCGACTTAATGCGGACAAACTAACAAAATTTTGCGTTAATTAAATAAAAATAACGAGAAATAAAATCTATAAATAAAATAAAAATAATAAATTAAAGCTTGTGAGCAAATAATATCAGACCCTAGTTAAAATTGAGCCGAATTAATTTTGAACAAAAATTTACTCCAATCTCGCTTTGTAGCTGGTTTTCCATATCTCGGCCAATGTGACCGCGCTGTGGAATCTGTGGAAAATGCACAGGGGCAAGGTGATGCGCTGAACGAAAGCCCATGCCAGAAATCCGTAGAATTCCAGCTGAACCGGGTTGGCTTCGACCTTCTGGGTCTCGAAAGTGTAAATGATCCACATGGTGACGTTGCAAATGAGCAAAAACGTGACAACCTGGCGACCAGGTTTGGAGCGGTCGTGCTCCGGAAGATGCACGCGACGGCGCGACACGTCGGCAATGAACAGCAGTTGAAGAACGACCTGTAGCAGAGAAAATTGTGTCGGTATATGGGTAAACAAATACACTCACAGGCAAAATAATCGATCCACACAAATTTTCGATGAATTTCAATCGCAAATAACTTTTTTATTTGATGTCGGATTTAAACGAATATTAAAGAATATTGTAGATAAATTAATGGACAATCGCTCACATTTTAAAAAATTACTAAAAATAGACGTACGTTTGTAATATACAGGTTTAAACAAAAATATGTTTTTTACCATAAGTTTAAGACACTCTGTAGAGTGGCAAAACCGTATATTGTTCTAAATTAAGTTTTATTCATCAAGTCACACCTATTCTTAACAGTTTTATTTTTGGTTCACCTCGATATATTTATTTTTGTGGAAAATATGGATTTTTTAAAAAACATTGCAATTTCCAATATTTTTCTGTATGAGGAACTAAGGTTGCTATGGTCCATCCATAGCCTATGGAGAATGACAGTGACAGTTTTGTTGAATCATCCCATACTTGGACATGTCATACACGGCTTTCAAAAGCTATCAAATTGTTTTTTTGCAAATTAATGTTTAAATTTTGAGGTGTCTTCTTACTTTATAAAATGGATATGTCTCCGACTGATGTTGCCAGAGCCATTAATTTAATCCAGGATAGACGGTCACAGTATTACGTGGCAAGTGTTTTAAACGTCATAAGAAGTAAAGTACAAAGGGCAACATCAGTCGGAGACATTTTTAAAAGTAAGAAGACACCTCAAAATTAACACATTAATTTACAAAAAACAATTTGATAGCTTTTGAAAGCTGTATATGACATGTCCAAGTATGGGATGATTCAACAAAACTGTCACTGTCATTCTCCATAGGCTATGGATGGACCATAGCAACCTTAGTTCTTCATACAGGAAAAATATTGGAAATTGCAATGTTTTAAAAAAAAAACCATATTTTCCACAAAAAAATATATCGAGGTGAACCAAAAACAAAAAAACAAAATTTATCTACAATATTCTTTAATATTCGTTTAAATCCGACATCAAATAAAAAAGTTATTTGCGATTGAAATTCATCGAAAATTTGTGTGGATCGATTATTTTGCACGTGATTCCCCAATATTTCTAAATCGCATCATTTTTACCTGCAAGACGGATAGGGCGCCAGTCACCATAACAAGTAGATTGGGTTCCTTGGTGAAGGCATTGAGATGTCCAGCAATCACGCTGAAGATGGCGTAGAGGAACAATCCAAAAGCGGAAACGCGCAACAAAATGTCGTTTAAGTCGCTCTGTTCCTCGGTTTTGAACTTCAACTGTTGAACTCTGCAAGTAGCGCGTTTCAGACAGTGCATTCTATGTTTTTGTGTGTTTAGTGTGTGGTGATGAAATAAAAACAAACGAAAAATGATGTGATGTTAATGGGGTAGTTAAATTTTTTCTGACCTATACTTTTTTTTTTATTCAAGGCGTTTTGTAATTTTAAACATTTCTGTGAAATCTGAATTTCAATTGAGTTTACCGTTTTTTTCGAGATATTTACAAAAAAAAATCTCCTAATTACGTCACTAGGCTATTGACAACGTTGCCAGCTTTTTCTATGGTTGCCAGTGTGTTTAGTTTAAGATTCCTACGATAGATGGCGCCACGTTATAATATTTTAGTTTTAAAACCACTTGATCTATAATTTTAGTTGATAAGAAGAAGAAGAATTGATTTTTTGACGTTTCTTTTTTTCGGGTTGTGTTTTTTTTTAAATTTGATTATTGAAAATCAATGTTATTGTTATGTTATTTGTAATTGATATTAGATAAGTGATTTATTAATAACGGACTCCAAAGCAGAGGGATCTTGTGGAATGGTTGGTTACATTGAACATTGGAGCTTTTAAACAAATAAAGTAAGTACCTATAATTATAATCATATTTTGTCGTAAATGCATTTCATTAGTATAATGCCTAGTTCTTTATATTCTTTTAGATATATCTTGAACTCTAAAATATCAAACAGTAATATGATACCTCGTAATAAGGAAGATAGGTACTTAATGAATTTGGTGACCATCTTTCACTCAACTGACAGTGACAGTATTTGTACATAACCTCTTCGGGTATTTTCTGACATAACCGAATGAAATCATTAACAAGACAACTTGATAACAGGGTAATTTTCAACCAATGGAAATCTTAGAATGTTGGTCACATGGCGAGGTTTGTGACGTCATAAAAATTTATATTTTTTGTAAATATCTCGAAAACGGTAAACTCAATTGAAATTCTGATTTCACAGAAATGTTTAATATTACAAGACGCCTTGAATAAAACCATAAAAAGTATAGGTCAGAAAAAATTTAACTACCCCATTCGTGTAAACTTTGACTTACCTGAAGAAACCGATGATGATGGCGAAGATGCTGAGGATCATCAAGACGCAGTGCGAAACGTCGGCCAGATAAATGGCGAGCAATCCGAAGTGAGGATGATGCACCAGCACGAAGAACAGTATGAGGCATATCAAGGAGGCGACCAGCATCAAAAGGCCGAAGAACAGACCCTTGGAGGCGCCCACGCAGTCCACTCTACCTTGATTGGCCTGAGCCAACGCGACAGCCCTACGGGATAACATTATTTCAAGACGGTGCTCCAGATCTTCTTGCGTTAACGATCTGATAACAAAAATAATAAATTTAGACTAAAAGTTTAAGACTAAATGACATTCTAATAATGAGTTTCAATAAAGTTAGATGTAAAATGATGAATGAAATTGTGAGTGTCAACAATGCATTAAATGAATGATAACCACCACATTTCTAAAGATAATGACATGATTCAATGATTATGTTACAGCAAAAACCTTACACTATTAATGTATGAGTGTATTAAGGTTGCCTAAAATAGATTTTAGAAGAGGTGTACCTATTGTCTAGTTAAAAAACAATCAATGATTACTTTGTTGTTTTTAATGATAGAGACATGATTCAAAGACTAAATTGTAACTCAAACTCCATTATTTAAACCCATTACTATTGTCAACTTTTTCAAATAAATCTATCACACAAGAAAACCAAAACAAGCTTCATTCGACACTAACCTTGGATGACGTCCGATGTGCTTCCACATTACGTAAATAACGGCGGCACCGATCAGGGAGTATTCGATAATGAATGGGAATAAATAGGGGGCCGAATCGTTTACGATGGTGCCCATGATGTTGACGCGTCCGCAAGTATCGGTGGAGTTTCCAATGGTTGTCCAGTTAAAGTTGAAAGTGAAGGGTTGCGGTAGGATGTCGTCTAGGATTTCTGTGGCGTTATTTTGGAGGTTGGTGAAGATTTCTTCGTCGTTTAGGTTGGATTCTTCGGCCACTGAAAGTGTAGAATGTTAGATTTTTTCTAGGAGGTTATATTTTGTTAGTATGTTATTTACCAGCTGATATATCGTTAGCAGCAAAGTTATTAAAGTTTCTGAAGTCCATGAAGCTTTTTAAAGGCGCGGAGGTGGTTGTAGTCGTAGTACTAGTACTTGTAGTAGTACTAGCTAGGGTAGTGGTGAACATCTCCCATATTTTGTTAGTAGTACTCCTCAAAGTAGTAGTACTAGGTGTGGTAAACACCTCCGGGGCGTTAGTATTAAACATTCTAAAGAACGTAGTCGGTACTGTTTTCGAAGTTGTTAGTATATCTACAAAGCCACACATGAAAATGTTATTGATTGACGACGCGTAACCAACGACTTACTTTTAGTGGTTGTGGTGGTGGGCATTGTGGTGACGGCGTTTCTAAACCTAAACGCCGCCTCTGTGGTGGTGGTGCGCAAAAAATTGCCCAAATTTCCGTAAGGTATTTTGGTTGGTGCAATGGTTGGTAGGGCGGACACCACTTTTTTGGTGGTGGCTTTGATTACGTCGGGGACTGCAGCATGGGTGCCCAAAATGGTGTTAGCGTTACGGAGGGTGTGTTTGCGAATACTCTCTATATATACAAAGCGTGAGGATGAGGGTTAGTAATTATGGTGACATACACCCTGATAGCAAAATTTGATTCTAAGAACCTTCTAAGAAGATATGACCCGGAATAATGGAATATTCTTGGAACCTTCCCTTATTGCTAAGAATGTTCTTAGGGACTTTTAAAACATTCAATAGATACCCTTTTAATGATGCAATTAGATTCTTAGAAGCTTCTTAAAACCTTCCTAAAAAGCATTCTAAGAACATTTTAAGAATACGTTTTTGGAATGTTCTTAGAAGGTTTCTTATGGAGCTTCTAGGAAGCTTTTGAGAATATTTCCAAATATGTCAGATACACGTTCTAATATGTTGGATTCTACATTCGTAAAATTCTTCAGGAGGCGACAAATACGCCTCACTGTCATAATATGACAGTGAAATGTATTTGTCGCCCCCTTAAAAAATTTTGCGACATATTAATATATATTTATTTAAAAATATTAAATAAACAATTTGACCTCTAAACCATAAGTTGCATGACATTATTTCATAAAAAGTAAAATTGGAAAATTTTGTGGGATAAGTCAGATTAGATTTAAGTTGAAGATAGTTAGGATTATTATACATAAAAATGTTAATTCAGATATAAAAAATCGGTATCCAAATTAATAAATATTTATTTTTAACATAAAATAAAATATAAGAAACAAAATATTTCCTTATAAAATAATTCTTCATAAAAGAAAAAACCATATAGTTCTTCATAAAAAAAACATTTTTCATTGTATTTAAGTTGGATAGAAGATTTTATGTAAAAGCCGGAATATTTAGATACCTATAGTAAAAGTATTTTTGTTATCGAATATTGTTTTAATTTGACAAATAACTATAAAAAAATATTTTGGGTTGTGTTTTTTACTTAGTATTTAATACTAAGTATACGTAGATTATGGTATATTTTACTATTATATAGGTACCTAACTGAACTGAATATGCTTAACAGAATGTTTCAGGAATATTCATAAATGAACTTTCTATAGCAATTACTTTCTCAACATTCTAAGCATATGTTTAGAGTGGATTAATTTTTACCACTAAACTTTGCACCTTCTAAGAACCTGCCTATATGTCAGTGAGAATATTCTTAGGATTATGCTATATTTCTTTTAAGCATGTTCTTTAGAAGAAATATAGCATGATCCTAAGAATATTCTCACTGGAAGGTTTAAAAAACATTCTTAGAATAAACTGTGCTATCAGGGCAGTGAATAAATAGTCTTAGTATTACCTGCGAATGGTGCAACTGATGGTATAGTGTCGTTGGACATCCTTCTATGATAGTTGGTTATCTCCTTGATGTACTCCAACACCAATGTTCTGAACCATACACATATATTCGTCGCTACGACATGCATCAACCCAAATCTCGCGATGACTTTGAAGCGATGAATATTCAACTACAACAAAACGCAATAAAATGACAACGAAACATCGCATTTTTACTAGTATACCCTCGAATTCATGAAGATGAAATACATCTGCATAAACGTGAAGATCATCTGAAGAACAGGGTTGATTCCACGTAAAATCATATAGCATTTTGATGTAAATGGTACTTCGAAGAAAGTTCCAAACTCCAGACCGTTGTAGATCATAGTACCAAGTCCAAATGCTGTAAATAGAAAATAATACCATCTGCTGTAGATATAAAAATGAATGAATGAAAGTTATTTTAATTACTTCCTTTGTGTTACGCCGGGTGCTAACTATATTATCTAAGCGATAAACTGTAACATGATACCGCTAATTGCTTAATAAGTACTTTAAATTTATACAGCCTGATATGGAAAATACGGATGTACTGCTATCTAACCATTAATAAATTACACTATGATAGTTCGATTTACTAACATTGAGTACGCCCACCTATATTACCTAATTTTGGGCTGCTGATTTCAAAAATGCCACTCGTTTTGCTCCAGATCGTCTAGGATTCGAAATAATTGCGTAATAAAATGCTCTGCCCAATTATCTCAAAATGTAAGTTTATTGTTAAAATTATCAAATAATGGTTGTTTTTACATAAAATACATTAAAATTTTAGTTTTAGTATTGTTAAGATAAATATGATCTATTTGCCGTAGACCAATTACTTTAGTACATTCAAGATAAATTTAAGCCAAAATAATTTAATAAATCAAAATACCAACAAAAAACTTACATTTTGAAGTGATTGAGCATAGCATTTTATTACGAAATTCTTTTAAATCCTAGACGTCCTAGAGAAAAACTAATGACATTTTCGAAATTAGCGGCCCAAAATTAGTTAAACTAAGCTGTACTTAGTACTTAATGTTAGGAAAAAAAGTTTGTAAAACTATCATAGTGTTATGAATGAAATTTTAGATCTCCGCCACAGTTTTACGCACAACAAGTTATTGTTCTTGTTGGACAATAGACCATCATTTTATACAGTCACCGGCAAAAGTACTGAACAAATTCATTAAAAAAAGTGAAGTGATAAAATCAACGATAACTTTTTTAATTTTAATGATAGAGACATGATTTAAAAACTGGATTATAGCCAAAAGTTTGCTCTATCCAACAGTAGTTAAGCTAAGCTGTACTTAGTACTTAATGTTAGTAAAAAAAGTTTGTAAAACTATCATAGTGTTATGAATGAAATTTTAGATCTCCGCCACAGTTTTACGCACAACAAGTTATTGTTCTTGTTGGACAATAGACCATCATTTTATACAGTCACCGGCAAAAGTATTGCACAAATTCATTAAAAAAAGTGAAGTGATAAAATCAACGATAACTTTTTTAATTTTAATGATAGAGACATGATTTAAAAACTGGATTATAGCCAAAAGTATGCTCTATCCAACAGTAGTTAAGCTAAGCTGTACTTAGTACTTAATGTTAGGAAAAAAGTTTGTAAAACTATCATAGTGTTACGAATGAAATTTTAGATCTCCGCCACAGTTTTACGCACAACAAGTTATTGTTCTTGTTGGACAATAGACCATCATTTTATACAGTCACCGGCAAAAGTATTGAACAAATTCATTAAAAAAAGTGAAGTGATAAAATCAACGATAACTTTTTTAATTTTAATGATAGAGACATGATTTAAAAACTGGATTATAGCCAAAAGTATGCTCTATCCAACAGTAGTTAAGCTAAGCTGTACTTAGTACTTAATGTTAGGAAAAAAAGTTTGTAAAACTATCATAGTGTTACGAATGAAATTTTAGATCTCCGCCACAGTTTTACGCACAACAAGTTATTGTTCTTGTTGGACAATAGACCATCATTTTATACAGTCACCGGCAAAAGTACTGAACAAATTCATTAAAAAGTGAAGTGATAAAATCAACGATAACTTTTTTAATTTTAATGATAGAGACATGATTTAAAAACTGGATTGTAGCCAAAAGTATGCTCTATCCAACAATATATTTTTGCGAAAAGCAATCCTTACCGATGGCTCCGATTCGGAGGAAGAAGCTGCCGTGGCTCTGATCGTTCTGGGTGGTCTTCCTCTTGCGTTTTACTTTCACGACGGTTCCGGCTTCGACGTCGGCCGCGTTGGCGGCCGTCGCGACCGCCGACGAGGGCGGCGCCTGGAGCGGGGCGCCGGCGGCCGCCGCCGGCGGCGGGGCCGGCGGGGCGGCGGACACCTGTTCCTGCGACACATTCACTTGTGATTGGTTGCTCAGTTCGGCCACCGGGACCGGTACAGCTGAATCGACTACGCCCTCGCTGTTTCGCCGGTAAGTGCTCTTCAGCGTTCGAATTAAACAATTATGAACCAAAACGGAACAAATAATAAGAGGAAAATAAAAAAAACAGGGTTTTCGCGGGTTTTAGGTCTAGAAGGATTTTTGGGAGTCGTAACTTTTTCTGCATACATTTAATGAAAATTTGGAAAACACTATCAAAATAAGCGTATTTTTGTTAGTATGCCCTGAAAATTTTGTTACAATCGGTTATATTTTGCCAAAGTTACAGAGCTTTAAAGTTAAATATAAAATAACGTACCAAAATTTCACTTTACATATTAAAATATTAATGATTTTTTTATTTTAAAAAATGACACTATTGCAAAAATGATAAAGGAAAAACTTTTTTATTTTGGCGTGTACTAAATATTTTTGCACAATACTTGATGATTTCTTAAAAAATGTCGTATTACACTAGTTTACAGCCATTTTGCCCACCATGTTTCACTATGATTTTCTTGTGGAGTTTGGCTCAAAAACGCGAAAATCACACTAATTTTTGTTTCAATTGTTTTTTTAATTTTTTTTTGACGGTTTAGTATACTTTAAGTTCTAATTGATCGATTTGACAACTTTCTCTGGTATAGTTTTGGTATCGGCTCAGTAGTTCGATACTGGCAATTTTATGAAGTTGAAAAAGTCCTTTTGTTTTACAAAAATCGAGGTCGAAAATTTACATATCTTTCTGGGAAATATAGAAATCGAAAAGATAAGTCCAGTTTGATTTGTTTTACGTATATATTATACTTAAAGGAAAAAAATAAGCTGCTATTGATAAAAATCCATGGATAAATGTCGAAGTTTTGAATTTTTCAGTGGAAGACCAAAATTCAGTTTTTCGAGAATTTTTAAGTTTTTTCTTCATTCTTATTTTAAACATTAAATAATGAAATTATTGAACATTAAAGATATTGAAAGTTTTATTTTGTTGTAATAAGCAAAGGTTTTAAAAACTTCTGGCTCCTTTTTTGTTTTTTGTATGAGGGACCAAATGTAATCACCCATCATGGCTGCATCCCAGAAGTCGTGATACCGCCGCTCCATAGCCTTCATTTGCTGGTGAAAACGTTCTCCGTGCTCATCACTTACGTCGCCCAGATTGTGCGGGTTATTTATTATTATTCAAAATTTAAATTTGACTGACTCCGTAAACGTGAATTCTTTTGTTTCTCGTGTTGGCATAGTGACATTTTACTGCTATTTTTTGATATTTCAACAAGGTATTTTTATCATGGTTTTATTTAGTTAATAAAAAGTGTCAAATGAGTTGAAGAAGTAGAGAGTTCGAACTCTCTACTTCTTCAACTCATTTGACACTTTTTATTAACTAAATAAAACCATGATAAAAATACCTTGTTGAAATATCAAAAAATAGCAGTAAAATGTCACTATGCCAAAACGAGAAACAAAAGAATTCACGTTTACGGAGTCAGTCAAATTTAAATTTTGAATAATGCTTTGAATAATAATAAAAATCGTCAAAAAGCTGAATTTTGGTCCACTAAAAAATTCATAACTTCGCCATTTTTCCATGTATTTTTATCAATATTAGCTTGTTTTTTTTTGTAAAAATGTCAGCTTGATGATAAAAAATTCAAACTGGAGTTATCTGTTTGATTTAACCTTTCCCAGGACGATATATAAATTTTCGACCTCAATTTATGCGTTAAAAACGATTTTTTTTTAAGTTATCAAAAGTCTGTAAAAGAAAGTTTTAGGGAGCTCAAATACCTTCAATTTAAGGGCTTGTTTAACCAAATTGATCAATTAGATTTCAAGCTATACTTAAAAACGTCCAAAAACGTCCGAAAATTAAAATAAAAACAATTGAAAATTCATATTTCAAAAACGCTTTCATAAAAAAAAAATTAGTTTGATTTTCAGTGGGTCAAAATACATGGGAAAATTATAATGGAATATGGTGGGCATATTTTTTTTTTCGATTTTGTAAACTAATGTTATTGTAATTATATCAAATTTTATCAAAATCGGTTAAATTTTGTTTATGTTAAAAAAATTTAATGATTTTAAAGTTTTGTTACCTTTAAAAAAAATTATTCTATATTTATGAAGTTTTTGGTAAACGATATAAATATATGCTCTTTTTGAAGAATCAAATATTTTTTTGTAAAATGATTTTAGAAAAAGGTGTGTTATGTTAGACCCTGTATATTTATTTGGTAACAGTTTGTTTTTCTAATGTATATTAAATAATCTTTTAGTCGTGATCTTTAGGGTTACAAAAAATAAGTCCATAAATTAAATTAATAAAAAGTTCAAATAGTTCAAGTAATTATTACGCATCATTAGATATTTCATAATTTCAAAGACAGCGCTTCTATTTTTCCATTAACTGATAAAAATTATCGCGCTGTATAAAAGCTCATTTTTAGAAACCAAAAGGACACTTACTATTTACTTTTCACTCACTTAACTTAAGATTTAACTTCTCGAATATTTAATTATTCATTTAATTATTATGTAAAACTTATTTACAATAAACGATCTTACGAGTCAAAGTGTTAGTTCTTCGTATCCCAACATAAAATTTGGCGCAGTCGTATTGGATTTGGTCACAAGAAGAAGAATCAAAAATCAAGTAAATCAAGAATCAAAAGGGCAACTCATCTATATTTCTTCAACTTGGCGAGTTTCAACTCCTTGGATCAACAAAGAATCATCAAGCAACACAAAGAACCCTCAACCACAACGAAGAACCCACAAGACAGACAATATCAAACGTAAGTCGTTTATTCCTTTCTTTTTCCTTATTTCTGTTTCCCCATTTTATATAGCAGGTTTAAATCTTTTTTTACTTTTCTTAAACATTTATTTGTATTTTCGCGTCTACTAAACTTTTACTATTCACAATGCCTGAAAATAACCCTCAAACGCTTCGAAGTGCTGATAGCAGCAACATAACAGACATTCCTCCACACAAATTAGCTTTTCTTTGTTCACTTATACCTAAATCATTCGACGGAAATCGCACAGAGTTATACGAATTTGTTTCTAATTGCGAAAACGCCTTTAAATTTGCACACAATTCTCAAAATGAACCTCTTATAGCATACGTGATTTCGAAAATAACAGGTAGTGCAAAAGCACAATTGCGCGATAAAGAAATAAACGATTGGAAGGACCTTAAAGAACTTTTAATACAATTATACGCAGACAAAAAACATTACACACAATTAATGGAAGATCTTAATACGATAAGACAAAATTTTAACGAATCTATTCTATCTTTTCACAACAGAGTCGATAAATTATACACCCGCATTGTTAATTGTATTTCCGATAACGACGAAGGCACTCGCAAAGCCCGAGTTCAAATTATTAAAGAATTAGCTTTGCAACGCTTTATCCTTCATAGTCAACCGGAAATATCGCGTTTTTTAAGAAGTAAAAACTCTAATAATTTATCAGACGCTCTAACTAGTGCTTTAGAAGAAGAAAGAGCTCTTCAAATTTCGAAATCTAGTTCTTTAGGATCCCGTCCATCAAAATTCTGCAAAAATTGCAAAACAAAAACTCATAACACACAAGATTGCTTTAAAAATAAAAAATTTAACGTACAATTAAATAAACCTAGCGAAAATTCAAATACAAATAACCATTCAAATACAAATTACAATTCAAATAAAAATCATAAATCAAATGGAAACTATAACTCATCTTATCAATCTAAATTTTGTAATTACTGTAAAAAGAATGGTCATTTAATAGACGATTGTTTCAAACGTCAACGAAAAAATGCAGGAAATAGTTCCAATCAAAATATAAATTATAATTCAAATTTCTCCAATAATACCGAATCTTTAAACGAGAATGCGTCCCAGAACAACGTCGTTTCTGCGGATTGGGAATAATAAAAACCGACGTAAAAATCTTAAATAAGCCCTTTCTAAATAAATCTTGCCGTAGACCTAATAATTTTGGTTGTTATCCGGTTCCAAATAATTCTTGCCGTAGATCTGAAAACTCAGGTTGCTATCCGGTTCAAAATAAATCTTGCCGTAGACCTAATAATTTTGGTTGTTATCCGGTTCCAAATAATTCTTGCCGTAGATCTGAAAACTCAGGTTGCTATCCGGTTCTAAATAAATCTTGCCGTAGACCTAATAATTTTGGTTGTTATCCGGTTCCTAATAATTGTAACAAAATAATTAAAAATCTTAAAACATTTAATATTCTTTTAAATAATAATGTAAGTCCGTGTATCGAAACATATTGTGATAACATTAAATTAAAATTTTTAATAGATACGGGAGCATCTGTATCACTTTTAAAAAATCAAGCGCATCTTTCTACTTTATTATCAAATCTTAATATTAATGAAAAAATTTTATTAAATGGGCTTAGTGCTAATTCTCCTGTAGAAACAGCAGGAAGCATAATTCTTCACCTTAGTCTAAACGATCAACCTATACCAATTAAATTTCAATTAGTTGATCAAAATAATAATATACCCTACGACGGTATCATAGGAAACGATTTCTTATCATTACAAGGCGCAATAATAAATTTAAACAATAGTGAGTTACAATTAAATTCACTAAAAATACCTTTAAAAATTATATCTCAAATTCCTAATAATCATAATAATGAAAATTTATATCCAGTTGTATTAGAACCTAGATCAGAAACAATTATCAAAATTGAAATCTTAAATAAAAATTTATCACAGGGTATCTGTCCAGAAATAAATATTGCCGAAGGTGTATTTTTAGCAAAAGCTATTCTCAAAGTGGAAAATGGCACTGCCATTACTACTATATTAAATACCCAAAATCGAAAATTAAAAATAAATAAATTACAAGTTTTTCTAGAACCTTTTGAAGAAAAACAATCTACAATCTTTATTAATGTTAAAAATCAATCAGTAACAAATAATCGCATCAAATTACTTAAAGAAAATCTAAGACTAGACCATTTAAATCCCGAAGAAAAATATTCTATTTTAAAATTATGCGAGCAATATAACGACATTTTTTATC